CTCCCGTCAACCGGAAATCATCATCTGGCAGTCGAATCTTAGTGCAGATGATATTCAAAGAATCCATAATCTGACAGTGCCATCGAACGTAATGGTTAGCTCATGGGTCCCAATAAAGGAGCTCCTTGCTCATGACAATATTGAATACCTGATCTGTCATGGAGGAATCAACACTGTCAATGAGTTGGGGTTGTTCGGAGTCCCCGTGCTTGGTGTACCTCTTCAAGGGGATCAGGCGTCGAATTTGGCGAGAGTTGTGGATTTGGGGGCGGCGGAATTGATGACGATCATTGAGTTGAACGATGGGAAATTGGATAAGATGATGGAGAAGATGAGGTTGAATTTGGCGAGGTAAGAGTTGGTCCCATTAAGCTTGGGTCTCGCCACGAAGACCGAGGCTCGGGGGTGATCAGTTGCTACATATGTGGGAAGTGATACTGTCTCAAGTGCTATTTTGGCTCTTTTGCTATAAATCAAGAGCTATTTTTGCCATACTTGTGAAATTTCGGCCCGGTCCGGCAAGGCCCCGAGGCCCGGATTTAAAAAATGTTGAAGTTTTTTTTTTGAAAAAATTTTTCATTTTCTTACTGAAAATCCATCAAAGTAGTGTGGAATGCTTCGAAAAAACATACTATTGTTTGCATGCTCAATATAACCCTGGAGCACAAAATTGAATTTTTTCGATTTTTCAAAACTCGCGGTAATTTTCCGGGCCGTGCCAGGCCGGTCAGAAGTATGAGTTTTTGTCACTCTGATGTCTCAATCGCTATGACTATTTTCCCATGTGCTATGACCGGAGACAAAAAGTCATAGCAAATGAGACATTAGCAATAACACTTAGACTATAGCACAAGAGCAAAAATTTCGAAAATTTGTACAAAGCAGTTGATCACCCAGTAGCACTTGAGAGGTAGCACAAGATTTGATAGTACTTGAGTTTTTGCCACATTTCGCAATCGTGTTTTTCCGCAACTAGACGTTACGAAACTCCGCTACCGATAAAAAGCATAAAATTCGATCACACCTAACTATCCTACAATGTCGCAGGTCCCAAAATCTCCTTCTTCCAGGTACTGGTCCCGAAGCGAAAAGCTAGCGAAAATGCTTGCACAAAACCGCGAATTCCACACCGGATATCAGAAATTCTGGCTGAACTGGGTCGCCCGTCATGGAAAACGAATCGAAAATAAGCGATTCGTGAGGTATGAATACCTCGGAGACATGGATAACAGGCTATGGATGACGATATTCGGATCGATTGCTCTTGTTATTTTCCTAGTGACCGTCTAGGATAGGAAATACGCAAAATACCGTAAGATATGGTGCATTTTATCTTACGACAATTTGCGTACTCTTCAAAAATACCACAAAACACTTTCATATTTATGTCTTTTTTTAGATGATCTCGAATAATCTTTTTTGTAATTAATTGAAAAAAAACTTCAATTTGCTTTATGATAGGGTATCGATTTTTGATGATAATGATGATGAATGAATTTTTTGGGATTTGAAAATTTTTGGTATTCGAAAATTTTTGGGATTGGGGAGGTATAAATAAAAAGAGGAGGATCGGGTAATGAGCAGGAATGATATAGGTATATACAAACATTAAGAAGATGCGCCTTTAAGATTTTTGTGAGGGATAGGATTAATTGATAGAGGGTTTTGAGCAGGGCTGTGCGAAAAATTTTCGAACAAAAAAAATTTTTTTTTGGTTTTTTTCGATCATTTTCCTAATAATGATTCGCCTTTTTATTCCGAAAACCGGAAAAAAATTTCGAAAAAAAACGGTTTTTAGGTGTATATTTTTATGTTTTCACTGCAAAAAACCAAAATTTTCGAGAAAAAAAAATCGAAAAATCCCGAAAAATCATTTTTCGTTTATTTCGCCCTAAGAAAATAGTTTTTCGAATTTTTTCAGAACAAATTTTTCGAAAAAATGATTTTTTTCGATTTTTTTCCAAAATTTTTTTTTACACAGCCCCTTTAAGTTAACATACCAGGAATAAATATTTTGAAAAAATTTTTTTTTTAATTATTCAATTTTCGTTGGCTGATGAATGATTACTGGTGGCACTGGCGATGGGATTGGCTCCAGAATATCCGCTGTGTTACTGATCACTTCCACCTCCTCTTTTATAATATCATCTTGAATTGTTGGATGTGGAGTGTGGACTCCGTGATGTGTATCCATCGGAATTGGAGATGGGATTTGGCTGGAGGCTATGGAGATGTGGGGTCCTTCACTGGAAACTACAGAGTTCACTTCTGATGAATGGATGATTTCGGCGTCGACTTTCGCTATTTCAGCTGGGGCGATTCTGGAAATTTCGGGAATTTTTGGTGTGTTGAAGTTCTCTTCATCCCGGGCAGCGCAAGAGAAACGCGCGCCTTCCTGTAACCCCTCTACCCCTTCCGTTGATTGTTGCGCGCGTGGCCTAGTGGTTAACGCTGCCGCCCAAGAATTTTTCGACGCGGGTTCGACCCCCTTTGGGGTCAAATCTTTTTTTTTCTTTTTTTTTCTTTTTCTTTTCTTACCCATTATGTTCTTCAACAGGAGCCGCCTGAACCACTACTGCCGCCTCTCCAGCTCCACCCACTACAGCAGCCACTTCTCCGTTCGACGTGCCCACAGCCACCACAATTTCGTCATCTCTGAAAAAAAGAATAATGAAAAATAGCTGTTTTTCTTGAGGTTGTCATGTGAGAATCGTGTTTACTTGAAATTCGAAACTACTTAAAGTGAAAAAAGAAAGAAAGAAAAGATGAGAAGAACGTACTTGAACCAAAGGTTCTCCTCGTGCTTCGCCTGCTGTTCGTTGTCAGTCCAGTAGATGTCGTCTGGAAAAAAATTTTTTGAGGAGGAGGGTCAGTACCGACCATTAAAAAATCGGGATCTTTGAGATGATGAAAAATTACCTAATGAGCCCGAGCAAGCATTTTTTTTTCAGAATTTAGAATTTATGAAAATATGAATACGTAGATCAAAAAGTCCTCTATCGATTGGTATAAATTTCATATTAGGCTGCATTAGAAAAAACAGTGGAAAATGGTGAAAACAGAAATGAGCTTAGATTTTGATTTTTCAGATTTTTCCCCAATATTTTCGGTGCTACCCCGCATTAGAACTGGCCGCATTAGAACTGACCCGTATTAGAACTGGCCGGATTAAAACCGGGTACTTACGAAGTATCTGAAAACTCGAAAATTTGAGGAAATGTTTAGGGCCACAATGCCATATTCTGTTCGAAAATTCAGCCTCGAGTCGCAACTGGGAGCTTGAATATAGCCCGGTTCTCATCCGGAAAGTTCTAATACGGAACAGTAATGCGGCCAGTTCTAATGCGGGGTAGCACCATATTTTCTGATCCAACCCGATATGAAATTTATACTAATCGATAGAAAATTTTTTGACCTATCGATTGGTATAAATATCGTATAAAGTTGCATGAAAAAACAAGCTTAAACAATGAGAAAAGAGAATTTTATTTTTCGAAAAAAAAATTTTTTTTTCAGTTTTTTTTTTTTGAAAAATTGAAAAATCCTAAATTTCATAGAAGCTGCTCCCATCGTGAGCATCTCTAGCTCATTCGATTTCCGGATGCACTCTGTATATCCGGATGTCCGAGTCTAACCTAGGGTTTGACCAAATTAGGTCTAATTTATTTCCCCTTTTGAAATGCGTTACAAATTCCGAGAATGTCTGTCTGTTCATCTGTCTACCCGGATATCTCCCTCCCTCTTACTCTTATGCAACGCGTATTGCGTCTTGAAACTCTTGATACAATCGGTGACTCTCTGCTGGGCTTCCCTGCCACGGACGACAAGAATCATCCAAACATCGTCGAGCTGCCTGCGTTTCTCCTCTTTCAATAGATGCGATTTCTGGAAACAAAGGGGAAAGAGTGGGTGAAACGAGAGAGATTTTCAATTACATCTATCATTTCCTGGGTGGGTCGGAGTGTCTTCATGTGTACTGGAATGAGGTGCCGATCCTCCAGTGCCGAGACGAATTTGCCGGTGAGGTGACGGGTGAACACGTTTTGTTTCAGTACCACGAATACCTGGAAATAGGGGGGAATCGAACAAAAAAAAGTAAAAAGAAAAGAATCCAGTGGGGGTTGAACCCAGGAGGTCAAAATTGAAAGTCAGGAGCGTTAGCCACTAGGCCACACATAGGTTGTTTTTCTATTAGAGGTGAGACACAGGGGACCTTCTGCATCCGCTTCCCTTTGTTTCCTGGCGGGCGCCGCGCGGTGGCCTAGCGGTTAGCGCTGTCGTTTTTGAATTTCGGATCGAGGGTTCGATTCCGGGTGGGGTCAATTTTTTTTTGTTTTTTTTTCACAACATAAATTTTTGTTTGGAGTGTTGTCTAGACCTATCTTACAATTATTTGGCAGTCCATCTTTCTGTAAACTGTCAAAAAAAAAAATTCCCTGCGCCTTTAAGGTAAATTTTCGAAAAAACTGACTTTTCGTGATTTATGATGCCTTGCCCGCAAACACTACATCTAACACCATCACGTCAGAATGCACATTCTGACTCAACTTTCCACGTAATTCTTGTTGCTCAACAACAATTTTTTTGTATTTGCAGGTGATTTTTTCAAAAATTTTTCGATTTCGGATTTCGGGTTCAAAAATCTTTTTCCCCATAAAAATTTCAACATTCCAGGTGCATTTTCAATTTTTCCCTCCTCCCAGACACCCTTCCCCTCTAATTTCGAAATTCAAATTTCCGCTTCGAAATCTTTTTAGTGGTAATGCATGATTCCATCGAATTCATCTGTCTCGTTGAAAATGACAAGGAGAAGAAAAACAAAAACAAGACTGAAAAACCTGGAATTATTTTTTTTTCGTCTGGAAATTGACGGTGGGAATTCTGAAACTGAAAACGAGATAGGAAAAACAGACTGATGGCTCTCAAAATATGGAGTGCGCCTTTAAAAAAATTCAACGCGCGCCGCCACGTGTACCCCCTCTACCTCCTTCTCAGCCTCTCGCCTCATGGTGCAGTGGTTAACGCTGCTGTCCCCCAATCTGTGGTCGCGGGTTCAACCCCCACTGGGGTCAATTCTTTTTTTTCTTTTTTTTACTCCCCCATGAACTCACATTCTTCAACTGCTGCTTCCCAATGACCTCCTCACTAGCATCAGCAACCTGCGAACTTCTCGCACAACAACACACCGAACGAATCATCATCACAATTATTCGGTCGCCACGGTCAATGCTCATGGAGCAATTCTAATAGGGGAAGCACAAAACAAAAAGAAGAAGGAGGACAACTTGAGAATCTGGAAATTATTATATGCGCCTTTAAGGGTAGGTAGACTTAGGGTGGACGGAAACATTGATTGACAAGGGTCGGGGAGCAAAATGAGCAAAATGAGCAAAAGTGTATAATATAAAAGGGATAAAGAGGAGAAGGGGGATTAAGTTCAACACTCTCAGAACTACAGGAAATTGGAAAACTGATTGGATTTTCCATTCGAGAATATTTATATCAAAAAGGAGTTGACGTCAAGGGATCAAAAGGATGAGAAATGAAGGTAGACAATGGGAACAACGTAAAAAAGGTTCTGAACATCATTTGGAAATGAAAATGTGAGTGTGTGATGAAAGGATTCCTAGGTGGTCAGGATGGGGTGAGAAGACGTCAAAAATGATCAAAGATGTCATGGAGATTTTTGAATTTTTGGAGGGAAAGAGAGAGAGAGAGAGAGAGAGAAAGAGAGAGAGAGAGAGAGAGAGAAAGAGAGAGAGAGAGAGAGAGAGAGAGAGAGAGGAGAAACTGTCTGCAATCAGACGTGATGGTGTCAGCTTAAGGTGTTTGCGGACTCTACAGCGTATCTTACGACAGTTCAGTTTTCGGGAAGGCTCAGAATCAAATTTTACGCAGTTATCGCGGGCCGGGCCCATTTCGGAATTTTCTTGGGCCCGACTCGGCCCGGCCTGATGTGCCCAAATTCAAAAAAAAATTTCGCGCCTTTTCTCAAAGTTGAACTTTTACTATGAATATCACTAATTTTCATTGAGCAGACAAAAAATTTTGAAAAAAAAATTTCAAAAAAATTTTTTTTTCAGCGCCGGCTCGGGCCAGGCCTTTGGGAATTACAAGGCCGGGCCCAATTTGGAAAAGTATGATTTTTTTTTTCATTTTCTTTATTTTTTATTTTTTTTACATTCTATGAAAAATTGATACGTTTTAACACCAGAAAAAAATTTTCTCAAATAAGCGGTTTTCTGTTTTCCGAACGAAAGTTTTGTTTTTCAAGCTCACCAAAAATTTCAGCCGTTTTTTTTTCAGCCTCCTCGACTTGCTCATTATATACCTATACAGCTACCGTAACCCGAATCCTAGTACGAGATACAAAAATATTGTACTTTTTCCTGACGCATTACATGCTACTATTCTACAATACAAAATGAGCATTGACGAAGAAGGGGTGTATTCCCAAAATATACATATTTTCCATCTGTCCCTTCCCTTCCCTTCCCTAAAATTCTCCCCTGGTTTCCATAGAAAAGTTTTGTAGAGAGAGAGACGCAGAGAAAACGGGACGAAGGGCTTCTGGAGCATGTGATATTGGATGGTGGGAAATAGATAGAATAAGGGTGGTGCAGGAGGCTAATCCTTTTGCTTCTATTCTTGGGGGAGAATAGGATAGAGGATTATTATTTATGTTACAACAAAGTTTGGTGGTGATAAGGGGACTGGTAGTTGTTTAGATGATGTTGAGGGGGGTTTTTGTGGGAAAATTTTGAAAAAATAGTGGGAAGGATGGTCAAATGAATGCTTCAACCGAAGTTGTCGCGGGCCCGGTTTCGAAATTTTTTTTTGGCTTTTTTCAATAATTGAATTTTTGCTTTGAATTTCACTAATTCTTGTTGAGCAGACATTCTTTGGTTTTGAAGCAACTCCAACAAAAGTTCAAACTTCTTAGCGTCTTCAACATTTAAAAGTTGGGGAAACATTCCCCGCAAGCATACAGTACCGTCCACGTGAAAATTCAAGCCATTTTGCACTGAAAACTTTGGTGAACCAACTTTGAGAGGCCATAACTTTAGAGGCAGATGAGATATGAAAAAGTGGCCAACTGAAAAAATGTGTAAAAATTTATAATCTACAGGTCATTAATAGACCGTTTTTTGATATCTCGTACGGCTCAAAAGTTACACGCCGTGGAATAAAAAGTTTAACTAGAGGAATAAGAAAACTCAAAACGGTAAAACCTCAGACCATCCTTGCTAAGAATGGTCCTATCTCAAAAACCATCAAAGTTAGAAAAAAGTGACCAACTGAAGATCAATAGAACATAAAATTGTCAACATTACGTAAAATACATAAAATTGTCAACATAGTACGTGACACTTTTCCAGCAATCATGCCTGCTGAGTTACAGCCGACAGAAGTAGGAAGATTTTTTTTGGACAGTCAAGTATGGAAAATGTAGGGTTTGAGATGACCTCTACAACAAGAATTGGAAGGCAGTTGTTTTTCAATTTTTTTTTTGTAAAAAAAACCGGATTTTTGAGTTTTAGGCCGAAAAATGTGGTTTTTCAGTGATTCTCGTCAGGAAAATGATTACTTTATTTATAGTAAAACTCAAAAATTCGACAAAAACTATTTTTTTTTTTTTTTGAAAAACCGATCAAATGAGCTGCCCCCCCGCAACTTCTACCATTCAAAAAAATGTACAAAGACTTTTATTCAGTTTTATTCATTGAAAAAATTTCAAGAAATCATTTAAAAATTACAAAAAAAAAGCGGCTCCCAAAGGGTAGCCGATTAAAAAAAAGGAATATTTTTGCATTTAATCAGATTCTCCAGCCATCAACTCCCAGAACTCCTCAAACTCAATCTTTCCCGAACCGTCCTCATCGATCTCGTCGACAGCCTCCTCGAGTTGTTGATCAGTCAGGTCGTCGGCGATCTCCTTGAGAAGAGCCTTCAAGGTTGGTCGAGAGATGTATCCGTTACCCTGGAAATAAGGAAATAAGGAGGGGCTGTAAGGGGGGCTGACCGGGCTCCGTAAGTTCAAAATAAGGGGGGGGGGGCTTCCAGGACCATGGGACTAACCTCCTTGTCGAAAAGACGGAACGCCTCACGAAGTTCCTTCTCCAGCGTCTCCTTGTCGACAGTGTTGGCGACGGTGTAGACGAGAGCGCAGAACTCGTCGAACTCGAGCTTTCCGGAACCGTCGGCGTCGAATTTGCGGATCAGTTTGCGAAGGGTCTGGAAGATTCGATGATTATTGGGGATGGTCTTGTTCATGGGAGGCCCCAGGGGCTTTGGGAAGGTTGGACAGTGACGTAGGTCCTTCAGAAAATTCTAGAAGAATAGAGCTACTCTGGAAGAGGAAGTTTGGTAGCCTCCCGGGAGCTGTGGGCCCGATTCGAGAGCTGTAGGACTATTAGGGGCCTTAGGGGCGCTTGTCCCAGAAATGAATAAGCGTAAATTCAAAAATCTAGGCTTCAGGAACTCAGAAAGAAGCCTATTGAAAAAGGGGGTCCACAGAAAGGGGCCTATTAGTCAGGGAGGGGCCCAATACTGTCCTAGAACTGCCTGCTTAGCCACTCGAATGACAGACTACAAACTACAAATTTTGCATTTTCTCGCTTTCTAACTTCTCCCCAAGCTTCGTCCTCACCAGTTCCCGACTGCCACCACGGCATATTGTAAAAAACACGTGGGCGGTAGGAAAGGGTCCCCGTTGCTCAGAAAAAAAATAAGACCGGTTTTAAGGATTTTCGGGGTCCCAAATTGTGCTATCTCAGGTGCTAGCTATAAAGGCCCCCACCCTAAAATCCCCTTTGCTCACCTTCTCATCGAAATCCTGCTCCATTCCGTGCATGATTTGACCGATCTGGGTGGCCATGATGTATCCTTGCTTTCCTCTGTCGAACGCATCGAAGAACTTTTGGTACTCTGCAAAAAAAAAATTTGGGTGGGGCCTATAACGAGCCTGGGGGCTCAAAAGAAGGCCTTAGTAAAAGCCTTCAAAGCCTGAAAATTTTAATAAAAAGAGCCTATTGCTCAGTCCTAGTTGGGGCCTAGGGGCCTGAATACTCTTAGATAGAGTCTACAGAGCCTGATGGCCTAAAATGCCTTAAAAGCCTTAGGTTGGGCCTAAAGGGCCTTAAAAACCTAACAGGTCTAAAAACGTTATAAACTAAGCTTACCCTCAATTTGGGATCCGTCGATCTCGGCAAGAATCTCTTCGATGTCCTCAGCCTAAAACGTCAAAAATTTTTTGAAAACCCAAATTCAAAGAGATACAAGAAACTCACCATGTTGTGTCAGAGTGTTGTTGTGCTCTGAAGATTTCTTCTTGGTGAGAGCTCCGGGAGAAGGAGTAGGCGGGTGCCCTCCGATGAAGGGGGGCGTGGCCTTCACTGTTACACTATGGCGGCAGGCAGATGTGATGTGCTCCCGAGGCTCTCTATCTCCTGAAGACAGGAGGAGAGAGCACTGGAAGATGAGAGACGGAGATACGGGGGATGGGGGAAGTTGACGATGATTTTTGTGGAATGGAAAGCGTAGGGAAGTCGAGGAGAAGGAGAAGATGAGGGACAGAGATCCCGGGAGCTTCTAGAACAAGAGGAGGGAAGAAGAAGAGGAGAGGCAACCAAGGATCATCTTCATCACAACGAGAAGAGCCAGGGACCAAGGGGGGATGGGGGAAAATGAAAAGTTCAGGGAATGGCAGGGATATGTATAGCAAAAAAAATGTGTGATAAGAATGTCGAAATGAAAAAAGGGAGGTGCCCTTTTATTCCAGGTTGGGGTAGTAGAAACTATTAGAAGTAATGTAGAGGAATAGTTAGTGTGTAAAGTATATTTAGTTGTTCTCGGAAAAATGTAAAGCACATGTTGTGGTGGTAGAGTGTGTGGGTGATGTCAATCAAGACGGAATGTTAAAAAGACCCCCTTGGATGGAAACTGAAAAACTGTAGTAAGTCTGCTTGTGCACCTAATAAAAGAAGAATATTATACATTTACATTGAAAAAATAATAATCAAAAGATTCAACATCAGAAATTTTTAGGTGTAACAATTGGCTCTCCCACTAA